AGCTTGTATAAAAAACTGCAATTTTTATGGCAACATAGACTTTGACATCGTCGTTTTAAATTTACCAACTAAACCTGGTTCTAAAGGCACTAAAAGCGTGCCAGTTCATAACTAGAGACTTTTTTCCTACAGGGTATGTTTGCTTACACATATGCATATGCAATAGGTCAGTCGTTGTTAAGGTGAAGTGAATTGAATTGAATTGAACTGGACAAGTTGATTTGTCGATATGTTTGTACACCGACAAGTAGATTTGTTGTGCTGTTATTATGCCATTCATGTTGTACTCTTAAATATGTACATATGTATGCATGTATGAATGTATATATGTATGTACATACAATTTGAACAACTTCATTAATATCGATGGCTAAATGGTGTGCACATTCAAACATACACTCATTTGTACAAATATATGTGATGTATGTATGTAGCGACATGCTTGTGAATGTGTTCGTATGTATCTTTAATCTTGATGACGATCATAAATTGTAAAATAAATTTTAAAAAATGTATTTAAGAACACTTGAACAATTTTTAGTCCCATTCATCTGCCTGACACTGAGTAGGTTAGGTTAGAAAGGCGCATACGAATGATTCGTACTTCTACTACTTGCCCATTCTGAATACCATCTATGTGTGCCAGGAGAAGGCATATCCTTCTAACCGAAGTTATTTTATATTGTTAGTATGGTGTTTGTCTACGTATACATATTAATAATCCCCTATCTCCCCCAAACTATTTTTAAGGCGTGATTCCAAGTTCTTGAGACTCCTTGACCTTCCCTGACAGAGACTTACTGTCCTGTATGAGACAAACTGTTTTCTCTCTGAAAGAGATCTCCACCTGAAAGACGCTACGGTTATCAGGCAGGCGATTTGATAGCCTTATCTGAAGGTGCAAATCCCGGCAAATTTACTGTTCTTCCAAAGTGAACTCTATGAACTCTGCCAGGTTCTAGCAAAATCCTATCGATGGAACAGATCAATATCTCGATCATTAAGGGAGACAACGGAATGTGGACGAATTCAGCTCGCGGCTCTTTAAACCGATGTGTCTACTCCGAGGAGCTCAGTGTTGGTCTGTTTACGATCATCATCCAAGCGGAAGTTCTAGGCATCCTCAACGCCGGTAAAATACGGGGCAGTGGAATTACATACAAGAGTAAAACAGCTTGTTGTTGTTGTAGTGGCTACAAAACCCCCGCCCAGCTCGGTTAGTATCTCAGTCGTTGTTGTCAAGCTCAACTAACGGGTATGAGTTGACCTGCTGCAGTAGCCAGAGCGAAGTTCGAGTCTGCCGAAGCAGACGAGACCTCGCCTCGTATATGTCAAGTGGTTGTGTGCCCAGAACGGCATTCACAGGTCTAGAGTATAGGCAACTGGAGACTTGACTCTCTGCGAATGCAGCTCTGGGCCTGTCGATAAGCTGACGCATCCAGAGGTTGCTTTATGAACCTCTGGACTCCGTCCTTCAGTTCGTAAAGATGCCTTCTGACATGCCTTGGCGAGGGCTCCTCTGCAAGCAGGTGTCTGTTCAGGTGTCAACGTCTGTGGCTGCCTGCTGAGAATTTCCTGCAGATCATTGTGTTGTGCTCCTTTATGGAGAGCATGTTCACCTCGTCGTGTTGGTGGTGTTCTGGCGACATCAGAAGATATCCGGTCGCTGTGCGTAGTGCAGTGTTCTGTGCTGTCTGTAGATTCATCCACTGCATCCTACTGGTCCGCAGCGACCACTCTGGTGCTGCGTAATTCAGAACCGGCCGGCCAATTGCCTTGTATGTTGCCAGCAACGTTTCTTTGTCTTTGCCCCAGGTATTTCCGGCTAGCGACTTGAGTGCCTTGTTGCGGTTCTGTACTTTGTTGACAATTGCGGTTGTGTGCGCAGAGAAGGGGAGTAGACTATCAGATGTTACTCCGAGTATATTTGGGTTATTCACCGTTGGAATTGGTATGTCATCAACATGAATACCCATCGGTAGTCTGGCCTCCATCGTCCAGGTGGTAAATAAGGTCGCAGTGGATTTTGTAGGGGAGAGGGTTAGACTCCTAGCAGTGAAGAAGCGAGAAAGCTCGGAAAGATACCCGTTTACCTTCGAGCACAAGTCATCAATTTCATTCCCAGACGCCATTGTCGAACAATCCTCAGCGTCAGAGACAATCGAGACTCCCTCTGGTGGTTGAGGGAGCTTGGAAATATAATAGTTAAGTAGTAATGCGGAAAGGACACCACCACCCTGTAGAACCCTCTGTTTTATTTTTCTTATTTACTCGATTTGTCTCTAAACATTACAGACGAGTGTCGACGGCTCATATAATGACCACCGTTTGAGTCTCTGTGGGAGTGAAGAAGTCTCTCCGTCTTCTAGCAGCGTGGAGTGGCTGACGGTTTGAGCAGTGGGAACACACTCCCCATCTTCCATGTTCCAGATGTCAGGAATGTCGAAAGTGGCCATTGACAGGTTGAGAACCTTGGCTAAATAGTCTACTCCCGGAGGATCCAAAATTTTCAGCATCAGCATGCATATTCTGTCGGGTCCCATGTCTTTGGAGGCTTTCGCCTTCCCGATGGCTATCTGAACTTCACCGCAGGTGAAAACATGAGGCGCACTTGTTGTTGGCAGTTTGTGCAGCCTTCCGGTCACTCGACGCTTGGCTTTGTGCATCGGAAGTTGCAGTATAAATTTCCGGCTAAAATAGCTAGCACATCGCAATGTTTATTTGCTGTGTAACTTCGTCTTTTGGACCGCAGCTATCAATAATCCATGCCTTCCCATTTACGGTTATCTCCTCAAACTTGTTCTGAACTCCGTAGAAAACAGCCAGTCTGCGCTATTGACAACAGCATTACTGGTTACTTACGCTGAGCTAGTTGGGGAATGCAAAATGGTACTGTGCTCAATGTCTCAGTCAGCTGCCAATTCTCTTGTCTGGGGTCCCGGTAGCACTGGGTTGCCCTCTTGGAATAGTCCAAGATATACATACAGACCTGTAAGGTACTATGGACTGACTACAACAGCACGAAGACCTCGGACCTTCTTAGCAGATCGAGGCAGGAGATGTTCAGAATTGTAGCAACCATCACGGGGCTCTGACCCCTAAGCAAACATGCGAACAAATAAATAGGACTACTCTATGGTGCGATTTGCCGCAGCTGTCAGCTAGAAGATAGCGAAGAAAGTGTCCCGCATTTCCTTTGTGAATGTGAGGATTTTGGAATATTAGACATAAAGGCTGCATTTCTTTATTCATTCCGAATGTTTGGAATAAACTTTTTTGTTTATTTATTCTTTAGAACGTTCCTGATGATATGTTGACGTATATTTCAAACGCATTCTGTTTATTCCGGCTGTGAAATGGGATTATCCGGAATGTATAAAGAAACGCAGCCAAAATATTAAGAAAATACCTTGTAACACAACTAACCGATCTATCAGGAACTACCATAAGTGAAATCGGCACATTTATTAGAGAATCAAAAATTAGTTCCACCAATCATCATCGAATGTGGATTAGGGTGGAACAAACAAAATTTCATTGCGAAATTTTAATAGTTCCCATTTTCCGATCGGATAATATGTACAGCCGCCAAAAAAGCATTAGGGGTGTTCCATTAAACTCGTAAACCTCCTAAAGCTCATAAATTTACGAGCCTCGTAAAATTACAACTCGTAAACTTCAGTGTTGCCGAGGAGCTGAAATTTGTATACTAAAATGTATGATACAATAATGAAAATAAGTGTAAAAAATTATAAGCGAATAAAATGAATGAATTTCATCCACAAACTTACTTAGGTTTTCTTATAGTTTTCGGCATTTTTAATTGTATTTTAGCCAAGACTGATACATAGATATAAGACGACGGGATGTTATGGAAAATACTACGAAACAAAAATTGCTTCACAAAATCCTGGTTGATCTGTCAAACAGTCACCTTACGCACCTATTTACACCTTTTCACATAGAGGGCGGTCCTATAAAAGCCCCGTAAACTTACGAGTTTTACACGATTTAGGACTTTACGAGTTAAAGGGAACCCTCTAATTAAAGTTTCGAAAAATGTTAT